CATAACACAGCTTTCATGAATCCCCACACTGATTACCTAGTATGCAGCAAGACCATAACACACAAAGCTCTGGTCCTTAATGCTGCACCAGACACCATGGAAACCTTAAACGGAACAGAATTTGAAGTATTACAGTTGTCTCAAAATCTAGTATTTTAGTATGTTAAAATTAAAGTTGCCTAATGTCCTGTGTGAATCTGGTAGTAACAGGCAAGTATCACATTACTCAACCCTGGTCTCCACTACAATGCACTAAGACACACTAGAAAGTGGAAAAAGCTACCATTTTCACTGCTGCTAGGAAGATATGTGCTAAAGTGAAAGGATTTACAGTCCTGCCAGTCAAGTCAGTTGACATATTTTACACGACAGCAGAATCAGGCTGACAGTGATTATTCTACATACAGCAAGCAGGTAGAAAGAGGTGCTACTTTGTTTTCATGCATAGTTTAACCAGCTTACAGCCAGCTCATCTCCATTAAGAACAGAGATGTACGATCCACCATTTGGTATAAGCCAAACTTCCAGCAAAAAATATTTCCAGTGCAAGCAAAATTGTCTTTCTTCAAGAAAAACAACTAAATGTAATGCTACTTCTCCAAGAAAAATGCTTATGATGTTTCATTTTCTACCCATTTTGGTCTGCATTTCTAAAGCTCCCTTCCTCTCCTCAAATCACATCCAAAGACAGATGACCACAGTATACTTTTTTTTTGGGGGGGGGGGCAAATAACTGTTTCCTCCCCAGAATAAATTATACTGCCCACTGAAGATCATCCCTGAGAGCACTGTTCTAGCTAGACACTTAGAAAGTAAGCAATAACTCATAGCTTAGAGGAAAGGCTGTTCACCCTGTGAAATCTTGTGGTTTTAGGAAGTAAAAAAATGCAGCTACTCTGAGCATTTAAATTCCCTGAGCTGAGTGAAATTTGAAGACAGTAATTTCTAACACAAAGCATAGCAACATCTAGAGCTGTACTTACAGGAGCTGTAATTTTTTACAGTGGTAAAGTCAGACATTAAGTTACAAGCATACAGCAGTTAACGGTGGTTCCTTTTACTTGCTTCCTGTCACAGGAAACGCGATGGCCTTCTTTGGTGAAAAACGGCAGTCAAGAAGCTTGGTGACTTCGGATTCTTTTGCCTTCTGATAGTCTAGCAATTCTTTAAGTTACAGTTACTGGAGATACTACCAGGCCATAGTGCAGTACAAGTAAACCATCCTAGAGAGAAGAGAAAGCAGCTGTATCATCATACCAGTTCACCTTCTCCATGAGGCATTTCTGTCACCGCCTGCTATGACAGTCACTGCACGGCAGAACCTCAGCTTCAGTCTCACTCACCGTTTTATACCATGTCCTTCCATATGGTGAATGCAAGTTTTGAAATATCAAGGCAAATAATGATATTCCCCCTCTCCTCTTTGAGATAGAGAAGGGTGTTTAAAAAAAAAAAAAGTAAAAACTGGTACTTTGCATTTATTTTAAAGTAATAATGGAATTATCTTCATACAGTAGGCTCTCATTTACAACTCATGCTGCTTTCCATATGATACTGTGGGGCAGAAAAAAAGGTAATTAAATAGTTCTAGAAAGTGCTGTCAAAGTGGTACTGGAAAAGCCCAGACTACTACTACACATTGAGTAATGAATGCAAGGGATTAAAAAAAAAAAATAAAAATTTATTAGTTTATTAAGTCATGTTTCTCCTCTTCTGAGACTGCTCCACATAATAAAAAAACCTTTCACCTGTGAAACAAGATACTTCCTGACTCATTAGTCTTCCTTATGTCACTCACTTAATTCACACACAGCCGGTGAGAGGTCTGGCTTCCACCATTGATCTGCTGGGAATCTTGTTGCATTAGACATATTTATATGGACAGGCTTTAATAAAAGTTTTCTTTTGAAGAGAGAACTACATTAATCACAACTGACATGTTTCAACTTCTACTGTGTTCTGCTTCTGATGTTTTTGTCTATTAAAATATAAACTAAGATAACAACACACATTCCAGAAAAGATACACAGTTCTGTGCGAGGGGGTATACCAGCATATTAAAAAAATTAAATATTTAAATAAAAAGTTAATTAAAAAATAGTAACAAGACTGTTGCCACTTTATAGGTTCTACTGTTACTGTATTATAATACAGAAAGCACTGTATTAGTCTAAGCAGTGTTTTGGAAGAATATATATATTTTAAACAACAGTTTGTTATGCCTATAAAATACTTCTGACAGGTTGGTGTAGCCTCAACTACTCACAAAAAAAAATAAATCTCCGAGCCATTTTGCATTGGAGAAAATAAAAGATTAAGAAATTGATCCAAAAAATACTCAAGAGGACAACTGTTTTGCAGATGGTGCCCATCAACACCTCTATGTGCTATCTGGAAGATGACCTCTTAGAAAAATAGCCTTGTTTTGCTCATGGTGCCACAAAGCTCTTTGATCAGAAAACCACCCCAACTGCTGCTGTGCATGGTTACTTCACTCTTCTACCATCAGTTTCTTTAACTTTGGTAGCTAAATGGTGCCACTGGAAACAAATCTACTGCTCTGGGGTGGGGAAAAAAATGCAGTATGTTATTTTCTGTGATTCTGTGATTTTCAAGGGAAAAAGTGGAAGAACTACCAGAGTTTTCAAATGTGATGGTGAAAGAAAACAGATTCATAAGAACGGAGAACAGATCTGCAACAGCCATACTTTGGTCAATTTAGCCAACATGATCACTTAGTAAGACTGGAAACTCCGCTTCTGTTGACAGATTTTGTAATTTATTTAAAGAGGAGAGGAATATTCAAAGTCAGGAAAAGAGGGATTTTTTTTAATTGTCTCCTTTCCTTTTTTGGAAAGGAGACATTAAAAAAAACAAAAATCAAGATGTAAGGTGCTAAGAATGGCCATACCAGGGCAGATCAAAGGGCTACCTAGTCCCATGGGGAAGGCCTAAGTAAAAATACATGAAAAAGGCAAATATGCTACCTCCCTTTATAATTCAGCAATTTCAAAAGCTTTTCTCAGGAAGTTCCCGAGCCCTAAGTCAAAGTAGCTTTGTACCAAGTGTTTTCTCATGACTTATTTTTTTCTATGAACTTGGTCTGTTACTTTTGAGTCTACAAACTTCTGGCATCCACAAGTCAAATCTAAGCGACATCAAACTGAAATGCTTTGCATCACTGGACATGGTGATGTCAGTCATAAGATCGAGACTGAAGATCAAAAAAAGGGATTAAAATGCAGGCATGAGAAAAGTAGATCAAATTATTCTTTTGTAAGAACCGTCCAAACCAGTCAGAAGGGTCATGTTGGAAAAGGACAGCACATTAAAACACCTATAGAAGAGACTTACGTTCAGGCTACAGCAAATACACGTTCCCTGACTCTACAGCTACAGGTGATACAAACAGCTTCACAGCAAAACCAAATGTGCTCTGAGTCTCACGCAGCCTCACTTTTGTTTAAAGGATGCTTATGATAACAAATGAGGGCCTAGCACAGGGTAGATGCCAATCAACCTTAACTTCAATGGACAGGAATGAAAAAAACCCATTTTATTCCTGTGTTATTAGTATCAGCTCACTTATTTTCCTTCACCTTCTCATCCTGTTAATAACCAGGAATCCATTGCTAACTCCTAAAAGGATACAGGAGGAGACAGGAGCTTCAGCTCACTTACTCAGTGCCTAGCATAGTGAGGGATGTGTGTGTGGCATGATGAATCACACACACACAGAATCACAGAATGATAGGGATTGGAAGGGACCTCGAAAGATCATCTAGTCCAATCCCATGAAGATAGGATCTTGATTGTCATCACTTCTTCTTAGGTAGAACAGGGACTAAGTTACTCATTAATCTCTTGGCACTTAGTACACTGTTATACCTTCACAAAGGTATACCTACTCCTTGTGCCTGTCAGATACTCCCATAGAAAAAATAAGACACATTCAAGATTCCATTTTTGGAGAACTGTTGTCAAAACCAGTTTTCCTTCTAGGGCAGAGTTTCTTGAAGGAAATAAATATTTATACAAGAAGAAAACACTACAATGTATTCTTTGATGGATGAGTTTTCAAATGGTACATCTGGCAGTAGGACAAAAGTAGTAGGCCTTAAAACCAAAGGCCAAACCCACTGTAATTCCTTCTGTCCAAAGAGAAGCTGAGATTTAACCCAGTACTGGCACTGCTTACTCTGTAATTATTCACTTTTTAAGTATTATACATTTCTATATATATTCAGCTGGTTTCTCTGGATATTTTTCTTAAAAGGAAATCCAAACAGAGAATGAGTTCTCACTGCTTATAACAAATCTCAAATCAGGCTAACTCAGACATGCCCAAAAGAAAAGCAAAATGAAATACCATCCCTTCTGGCAGCAAAACTCTCCAGTGTTCCTTGCCACACATTTGTGAACCTGACCTAAAAAACCTGAAAGGTTCCCACCCATTATGCTCAGCTAGAAAATTCAGAGTGGAACCGACAGACAGAAAGACCATAGTATATACATACACCCTCTGATGTTATAAGAGTAGTAGCAACAAGTACCCCACTTTCCAAACTCCATATCCCCACAGCAGAGAGTAAAAACACTTCCACAGCAGATGTGTGCTAGAGGGTCACAGTAGTTAAATTAGATCATAGCTCTTTCTGCCTAGCTCAGGAGAGACCAAAACTACAGTGGCATTGGGTTACAAAAAGGTGGGAGTTACAAAGAGACCATTATAACCTGCAAGACCTTTGTGGCAAGGACTAGGGACATAAAGGAAGCTCCTCTTTTTAGCTTTTCCCATGTGTGAGCTCATTATATCCATCAGTGATGCAGAGCTCTGAGAAGGCCGGTTTCAGACAAGTGAAAACAACTAGCAGCTTGGATCATGTTGCATTTGTGCAGGAGATGAGAGGAAGGTAATACAAGCAAGAAATTATACTCCCATATAGTTAATAACAAGTTTCCTTCCTCAGCTACTTGATCAAACTCTCAATTACAGGCAGATCTCAACACTTGGTAACGAAATTGAGCATTTTAAAAATTTCTGTAAGTGTCTTTGATCTCTCCTTGCAGTAAATTCCACAAGTTTTACACTGTTTCAAAAATTAAGTGAAGTTGCTTCTTTTTATATAAATTCTGTGCAGCAATTTTAAAATGTTTTTTCCCCTAAACAGAGGTAGAAATCCTATTTCCAGCTAATTAGAGAGATTTAACCAACCACCCAATTTCAGAAATGTTAAAATATCTTGAGATCTACAAGATTAAACAAGATTTTCTTTTAGCCTTCTATCAACTACTCAGAAAAAAACATGTTGCTTACATTCAACCACTAAAATCAGTTGCCTGTTTACTCTAATTAAAACAACCCAAACAGGTTACTAAGGGGCCACTATCAGGAATATTTATTTTACCATCAGATCACACTTGATCTTCTCACACTTGTTGGAAAGGCACATAATTATTCAGAACAGCTAAAATACTGCTAGCTTGCACCTATAGGAGATTTTAATTTACTGAGGCTCTAAGGCATCACTACACATTGTTATTCGGTAGAAAAAAAAATAAAAATACCCAAAATCTTCACAAAACAATCTTGAGTATTTAAAAACTATTCAGCAAAAATAAAAGTCCCTAAAAATTTACAGTGATTATGGCTTCAAAAAATAAATCACACACAACATGCTATATGCTGCATTGCATGGGAAGAAACTTGCAATGTAAATGCTGCCAAAGAATGCATGTTAAAGTCAACGCCTCTGGCAAAAAGAAACGTATCTGCATTTTTTAAACAACAGCAAACAGAATAACTGCTGACCTGAATGAACTTGCAAGTGAAAAATGCGACTCAGAAGAGCAGTTAGCTTTTCCTCTAACAGTGACTGTACTCCCCTAAATAAAAACTTTCAATGTTTATTCCTTTAAGTGACTCTGTATTGCATAAGTAGCTACTGAAGCTACTTTCTTAGCATGAAGCATCTCCAGTGACACTCAGGAATTTGTAAACGACAACGGCAGTTTTGAAGAGTGTTTCAGCATCCCAGTGGGAGCTGTTAGGGGTTTGGAAAGGTTGGAAGGTTATGGTGGCACAAGGTGCCCTTGGAGCTTAATGTAAAATACATCAAATGTCCCTCTGTGTTTGTAGTCTCACTGGGCTGGGACAAGTATGCCCCTCATTGAATTTCACGTCTTGGTAAAAAAGAAATAACCCTTTTTAGACTTGAACTATTAATCTTCCCCCCCCCCGGGTAATTATCTAAAAACATTTCCAGGGATTTTTAATCCTAGAAATACAGCCTCTTGATTTCTGCAACATAATATAATGTGAGACCGTAAAACATGAAAATGTCATAATTATTTCAGTATTGAAAAAGAAGCAACTGTGGTTTATTTGCAACATTCCTACTGCAACTACTTGGCATTCTAAGAGGTTCTGTAACAAAATGAAGAAAAATTAAGGATGAACCTGATCTTTCAAATTCCCTGGCAAAAGTGACTATGAAAGCCCAAAACTTCACAGAAAGCAAAGATCTTTTTCTGTTTCGTTGTCCAATAGAGCAGGCTTGTGAGAATTCACTGCTAGCATACTGATTTTGTAATAATAAGACTTGAAACATCACTGGAGAATGTATCCCAAGACAACTGTTCTCTTTGTGGAGCTGCTGAATGGTTCTTAGCCACTAAATATCAATCAGGCAGATCCACTTTTTCTACAAGAAATGAAACAGATGTGGTTTGCCTTAAAGTGCTTCCCCAAGAGCATTTTTCATACAAGAAAAGCTTTTGTGTTAAGATGATGTCTAAAAGAAAGTACATTTGACCATACTCCTGGACTGAGAAATAAATCATCCCCCTGCTGTTTACTGAAGCTTTTAGTAGAGGGCATTTCCATCACTATGTGTTGATTGTTGCATTTACTTACAACGAACTCATTGCATTAGAAGCAAGTTTGTTACCTGTGCCTCTTCCTCCTGGTTTCTATCCGCTGATCCCCAAAGTGGGTTAGGTTACATTTTTGTTTTTCATTCATATTATTATATAAACAGCTCAGACATCAAGTATGGCATTTATTCCCTTTGACTGCAGAAACTGAGGTACACACCACAACCCTCAGAAATGTTTAAGGTCTGCCCTGACTGCGGGATACCTCATAGTTACTCAGATCAGGTACAGGTGATGCAATATCCAAGATACCTCGAAATCAGCTTCCCACTTCTTGCCCCTGACACAAAAGCCCTCTTGTAGCATGAAAGGGAAATTTACATGTAAAAGACTGTGTGCGTGTGTGTACAAACAAGTCAAGGGAACTGAATTTACTATTTTAGCCTTTCTACTCTGTGCTCAATCTTTCCAAATAAAACACCAATCTAAATCCTATTTCTTCCTACTGTACTAAACATTAACTTTTCAAGTTTCCAAGTTCAAATTAATATACAGTTTGCTATACATCACAATTTTACATCTGTATCTTACTATGTACTGGGTAGACTACTTCATTGTTTTTGCTGCACTTCCAAAATGGTGGGACCCTTCCCATTATAAAGATGCTTGAAATGATTCCCAAGGAAATAAAAAAAGGTTTTCATATTTGCAGGGCCAGCAGCACTTAAGACAGTAACTTATAAACAAGAAATATTTGGCTATAAACTTGTGCTGTGACCAGGATGGGTGTAATATGCATCAAGCATATTAATTGCATTCATAACACTATCTTTGATTTGTGATTCTACAAGCAAGTCACAAGGTTAGCCTTATTTGGGATGCTGCAGTCCTTTGATTTCCTGTAGAGATGCAATCACCAGGGAAGAAAACAAGGAATGTTAGTTGAAAGAAAGACTAGTGTAATTTATCACTCATAAGACAGCAAATTGTTTCAGAACAGAAAAAAAAAAAAACCCAACACAAAAAACCATCACATTCAAAACATCATCAAACCGTCAAGAACACTCTTAGCACACAGTATCCTTCTCAACTCCTTAAATATAAAAAACATTTTGCATAAGCTGGAGATTTTTTCTAAGTGACTACTTCAGACAAGTCAGTGCTACCTGATAGCTTAAGAAAGAAGTCTTCTATTTTAAAAGAGAAAACCTGAAACAAAGCCCCAGCAGCCACATGTACCTGTACTGCACTCTCTCCTATGGCTTGACGAATTTCCCTCAGTGTCTGGTAGTGTTCTAGCAGGTGATCACCACATATTATGTCTACCTGTGAAAGAACACAAATATGGTCAAGTCCAACCTACCTTTGGACTAGCAAACCAGTATCTAAGCCCTTTACATTTGATTAGAAGATTTCAATTCTAGCATGTTAGACACTAAAGCCATCTTTACCTTTGTTGTCCAAATGTATTCCGTGTGCACAACACTATTGCACTGGCCTAATGCCTCCCACCCCAGGTCCCTGACCCGGGGCTCACTTCTGGAACAGAGAGACAGTTTATTGTTTCACTCCCAGTTTGGTGTGTCCACTGAAAAATGCTGTTAAGCAGTAACTGTGATTAATTTAATAGGAATTCAGATCACGTTATTAAAATAATCCCATGAATATCCAGAGTAATTCATCAGTTGCAAAAGAGGGCAAATTGTGCCACCGATAGAAAATGAGTCATTGCTACCCTCATTCTTGAGTGAGAAAACACATGAATAAGTCTGCTTAATATAACTGTTTGGAAGAAATATTTTTATAGAAAAGAACAGCTCACTGTATGCCACTGTCAGCAGTTACTTCACACAGTCCTCCTTCAAAATGCAATCACTGCCTCTGTGATGCAAGGGAAGGGCATACTCTGCAATCCTAAGCAATGTCCTCTACTGCAGCTAAACTATGTCAATGATGTCTGCAATTCCGGAGGAGGCACTTCTGTTAAGTAACTGCCCACAGAACAGTAACTGGGGAAAAAAGAAAAAATCATAATGAGGTATTCTGAATTCCTTGCCCTGACTATTACGAAAAATAAGCTTCTTTATAAAGTTACTATGAATTTACTGTGCATAATGTAAATCCAGTCTCTAACATTCCAAATTAGAGCAGCTAACACAGCACTGTTTCTATCCCAGATGCAGCTTGGTTACATTTTCCTTCTAAGTAATTTCTAGATATGGAAATGAGAGGGCTCTCCTCTGTGAATTACAATGACAAGACCTCAAAATTAAAGTTAAGAGCATTGACAATAAGCTGTCCCACAGCTTTCTGCAAGGAAAACATTTAAGCTCTGCCACTGCAGCAGTCAGGGAGCACACTGCAGTATCACTACGTATTCTCTTAGGTGGCCACTCTCCACTACAGGATGCACTCTGTGCTTCAGCTGTTCAATTCCCCTGGATTTATGCTCTTCTGCATGCTGACCCACTATCTCTCTATTGCTCTTCACAAAAAGATTTAGGAAGATTTATGCCTCATGCTGGCAGATCATGTTGTTCTGAGAACCAGGAACATAGAAATTCTGCTCCTTAGATGCTCCAAAAGGGCTAATTCACTTCACTCTCTGCATAGTACGAGAGCAATGTAGAATACTCCATTCACGTTAGGTCATGTGGAATATGTAACTTGCTAAGTATTACTTCTGCTTTTAGCTTCTAGGAGGAAACCGGCAAGTAAAAACTTATCTGGACATAACATTAAACATTGATTAGATATTGATCCATATATACACACACATGTGTACATAATTAACAAGATTTGCTGTATTTAACACAGAACCTGAAAGAAAGATATTTCTTTTTCTTTCTGAAAGCTGGTTACAGTTATTTCCGCTGTTTCCCATGCGTTCTAGCCTCTACAGTTATTACTTCAGGAAGACGGACATGCCTGCTTTGCTTTCCGGTGATGTATTAGTTTAATTACTTTTGCTTTATAAGCTTAACTTTATAATTTGTATACTGTAAGGCACTGAAACATGCATACATAGACATTTTATATATTCTACAGAAACAGAAAAACAAATCTATTTCTCCAACACAGGATGCAAACGGACATAGTGACAACTGCTGACAATCTTTCAAAGCAGCATCAGAATGCTTGTTTGAAAATATCCCACTGTTGACCATGCTCCTCCAGTTTCAAACGGTAGTCAGTAAAGATCCAGTGTCTTCTAATAAATTAAGAAGAGATTTTCACATTTACTGTGTTAGACTGCTGTGAATAACAAATGTCTAATCTCCTTATGCCAGCAACAAAGCCTGAACCTCTGCCTGCTAATTGTCATGCTAGAATTCATCCTATAAGGACAAGGGAATAAAACAGAAAATGAGAAAAAAAAAAAAAAATCATAGTTCAGTGTGAAAATTGTTTGCAAAATGTGTCTCAGAGGAATCCTCATGCCATACAGGAGTAAATATATTCATTTACAAAAGAGGCACGAACAACAAGTTCTCGCTATGAATTTACTACCACTTCAACTGACTGGTAAAATTGAAGCCAGGTAGTACTGCTAGCTAGTGAGACAGCAGTAAATACAGCTCAACCTTTTGCTGAAAAGAAACATGAAGGTGTAGGTGCTGAATACTCAGTCACTTCTGATAAAATTCTTATTAAGTAGCCTTTCCATTTTGCCATTTATTTTACTTAGGTGGCAAGTTTGCTATTAGAGCTATTTCTCTAAAAGCCACTATAGCAGACAATTACAAATTAATATTCACCAAGATAAACAGAGACAAAAGTAGAAAACTTTCATGTAAGGAACATCCCACACAAGATTCATCCCAAGGGGGAATATGGCCCAGAAAGCAGCAGACCACAATCAATGGTTTCTATGCCAACCCCTATCATCCAGGGCAGAGCAAGGAAAACACAAAGTTTTACAGATTGACACGAGTATTTGGGCTAGTTATTAAAAAATATGGTAAAGCTTTCCATTTCCTCAAGCTGCTACTTGCTTTTCAAAGGTACTGGATGCTTCTATTCCAGGGTCTAAGACTTGCATGAAGAAACAGCATCAACGACTACACTGCATGAACACAGTTTTTCTCCCAGTCTTTCCCCAGGCTGTAGTTTACACAGATGCTTTTAGGAACACACATCTGATTATCAAACATTTCTATTCCATAAGCTACATTAATGAATTCAGATCAGCTGAGTCTTTCAGCAGTCTCTCTCTTGACCTTACAGAATGAAAGGACAATGCTGCTGCCAGATGACCTCAAAGGAAATCACAGTTTAAAGAAACCTTCTCATTTCCTCCCCACTCTTCAGCAGAACACAAACTATACAGATATGCATCAGATGACAGAGAACTTAATGGATTCCAAACACCATAGCCTGTATTTAGCTCAAATTAAATGTTACTTACTTAGCTATTACTCACAATTCCAGTTGCTCAAAAATTATTTTCATAAAACCCCTCAACAAATTTCAGCAAGAATATTCAAGAGAGACCTTGTAATTAGAATTTATAAAAACACACAAAGAAAATTAATCTTTGCCCAAAGCACAGAGACAAAAACAAAGCACCAGAAGCGTAAACTAGAGTCTGTCAGCTCAAGTCGTAGATAAATATAAATGAAGCCTTAACCTTTCAGATAAACTAGGGAATGTGAATCACAATCCATTTGCAAACTCAAATACAGAAGCCTGAAAATAATTAGACGCCTCAGACCAGGAAAAAAGAAAAAAGGCAGTGGCTTCAAAACTGCTTTTTAGACTTTTGTCTACTGTTGTTAACTGCACCAAACTCATGACACCTTATAAAAAATTTTATTATTTTAAATAATGAAGAACTAGAAAGAGTTAGAAAGCAAAACTAAGTAAGTAATATTAAAAAGAAAAGCTTGTTTACCTAAGTTAGCATCTATTGCTCCTCTAACATATGTTGAGGAAGCCTACAGGAAACAAATCACTGTAATCCTCAACACTCTTCCAAATTTCCACAGTAAACTAAAAAGCAGCCAAGCACCCTCCACATTTATCTTTTTTACACAAAGAGTTTATAACCTATTTCCCTAAATTCTTCTGCATGTGCTAATTTATATTCAGGTTTCCCTGATTTTGTTTTACAGTTTGCTTTATTAGCCATCCTGGGAAGTTGGAGCAAGACATGATTCGTCAGGCTTATTCATCTTCAATGACATATCTGACATTTCTTTATCTTTCTGCATAAGTTGGTAAAGACCAACAAACCATCAGCTTCAGTTCTGCATACTACGATCAGAAGGTAACAACTCAGTACATATACTCCTTTAATCTTAAGTCCCTATATGACAAAGAAATGATCAATAGGGATAGGAAAAATACTTCCTGCTTAATTTTTCGAATTCCCTAATTTTTAAAAATAAGCCTGAATATCTTCAAGAAATCAGTCGTGATTTGTTGCATGAAAATTGACTACCGGTTGCCAGTGACCAAGGAAATACTTGTTGAAAAAAAAATATGGGAGCAGATCAGTTAAGAGTGAAAATAAAAAAGCAGACAAAGGATCTGACTGCAGAAGAAAGCAGATTTAACATTTCCTGCAGACAGGCAGGACTCGCACAGAAGAGACCAAGACATCAGAACTAGCCAGTGCCTGTGCCTTACCCCAGAATGGCAAACTGGATACAAGCAGAGATAAAGTGCCTGGGTCAGCATCAAGCAACATCCTGAGACAGGAAGTCATCAGCTTTTGAGACATAGTAACGTTTACCCACTAACAGTGGATCATATCCCGTCTAGTGAAGTCCAAGAAAAAAAGTAACTAATGGGGGAAAAATTCTCAAGTTATTTCTATGAGATGACCTCAAAACTACAAAATCTGAAAGACATTGAACACACAGGCCTAACTTGATTTTGAGAGATGGGTAACTGCAGTTTCCATTACTGATGCTCAGTGTTCCTGAAAATTGAGATTCTAATGTACTACTTAAGAAAACCCAAACAAACAAAACAATTCCTTCCCATCAAACAAACAACTCAATTAATGGAAGAAGTTTCCCTAGGCTTATTTTGAGGATGCTTTTATTTGTTCAGAATATCAAGCCACCACCACCTGAAAGCTACAGAGACTCTCACTGAGAGGAACCCAGCAAATGAGAACACATTACTTCCCCAGTGATGAATAATTTATAACTGATTTGCTTTGTCACCACTGAAAAGGTAAGTGGCATGAATAAACACTCATTACTGAGGCACACAGTCATGCTGTATTGTCTCAGACAGTTACTGCTGTATGAAAACACAGCCTCAACTCCAAAGCCAGCACTTAACTTCCACCATTTGCCTATTCACATCAGTTTCAGTTTGATTTACCAATAACTGACAGTTTTAAGAATCGTTTACACACTACGGAACTCCTGGACCTTCTCAACTGAATGGCTCCTGAAATATATTGAAGAATTGAAAACTGGATTTGACATGCAATTCCTGGCAAAATGGTTGAGAAATATGAAGTTAAATTCTTTTGTAAAATATTCTGCTCCTTTGAAATCTTATTTGGGAGTGTGTGCCTACATTTGCATTCATACCTTTCATTTCAACATATCTATCCACAGTACCATTCTTCCTTAGCCCTTGTTTGCTTCTTCAACATTCAGTTAAATTTTATACTTATTCAGCTTCTGTCTCTGCCTTCCCATCCCCCCCCACTCTCATTCTTTCTTGTCTATATACTCAGTTTTATCTCTGAAACAGCACTGCCTTTTGGTTTTGAATTTCATCTGCTGAAATCTTACATAGCACTTTAGAAACTCTATACAAAAATAAAGTATTATAAAGAAAATTTAAACATGTTGCAAATGAGTTGGAAGAGTTGTTCTTTGCGGATCACAACATTTCAAACGTTTCATTTTCTTAAACCTTATTGCATTAAAAAAAACTAACATTACTTATAGACTCTAGTGAACAACAGAAATGTTCTGTCTGAAGTGCAGGCATTACATGGATCACAGGGAACTTCTAAGTGTCACTACAGTGACATACCTGACAAGTAGGGTCCAGATCCATTTTTCTTCTGAGAAACTTCTCCACATGTCCAATTGTTGCCTCCCCTGAAACACGTACAAACTTCTTTTCCAAAGGCTGCAAAGAATAAATGTAAGATTTTAAGACAATGTACATTTTCAGCTATCATCCCTCATAAACCCCAAACCTAAGCGAAAGCCAAATAACCGAGGGGGGCAGGTTAAATTTTTGGATCTTTCTTTGATCTAGTCCCAGATTACCTCATAGGAAAAAGACTAAATACATAGCAAGAATCCAGGTTTAAACTTCCTGCTGTTTAAAATAACATTTAAAAATAACCAGCTACTGACTTCAGTCCTATTTTACTACTGATGTACCAGAGAATGATATTTGCTATTAATTGTGCATAGAAATTAGTATTACACAGCATTCTAAGAACTTCTCCCCCCACAAGCATGTATTCATCAGAAGCACATGAACAATTTCCTAAAATTTCCTTATTTTCCCCAAATCAGGCTTGTGTACCAAACATGATTCAGATAATTAAACCACATCATTTTATAATGCAAGGAGCTTAAGTCCTTTACCATTCTAGAAGTATTATGGTTTGGACTGGAATCAACTTAATAGTCCATGAAATTTGAGAATCAATTAAAATATACTACTATGCAAAACACAGGGGCAAGACTAGTCTGAAATGTTTTTGTATCATTTCTAAATACTTTCACAGCAAGGACTGCAATGACAAGACATTTGTTATGTCAGCCTCAAAAATTTTAATGAGTTTCTCTTCTACAGATAAAATTTTAAACAGCTGACTGGTGATATGGGCTGCTAAGCAAAGAGGCACAGAGGCAGAGCAGATGACTGCATTCAGTGTGATAAATGGATTACCTTTTGAGTCAATTAACTGGATTTCTATGTTGGCTTCTGAACAGCTGTGATTTACTACCCAGGTTCATCATATTCTTTCAATTTGAATGAAGGGTCAGAGGGTCTTGGACTACCCTTGAATTCAATCATGAATTTAAATAGGTATTCATGATAACTGTGGTTTTGGAAAAACAGTTTGATTTATTCATGTACAAGAGCTAGAAATGCCAGTCAGACCTGATTTAGGGAACCATAGCACTGCAAGCTTGATGATGCTGAATTTACACTTGCTACGTGTATAAATCACAGTTTATGGCCACAGACCTTGTAACCTGTTCTCTCCCCCCATCCCCACTTAAAAAAAAAAAAGGTTGAAAGCCCTTCATATACAAAGTTCAACATCTAGTTCAGAAATATAAGACAATAAACAATTGAGGACATAGAAATGCTAAAAATGGATCAGGGTATGTTTTGTAAGAAGTGGATATGAAAGAGGATTTGGAAGGTTGATGAGTAAACCTCTTGGTCATGAAGTAGAATAAAAAAAGCATGAAGATATGAAGTGTAGTGAAGAAAATAAGGACAGAAATCAAGAAGAGATAGAGTGAAATGAGGGGTTAAGATACAGGAAGGAATCTGAAAATGCCATAGAAAAATGCCAGTTAAAAGATGTGGTATTTCTTAAAACTCAGATAGATGATACAGAAGTCTAAATATGCACGTAAGCTGAGTGGCACTTTAGTCTATGGATAGCAGGATTATTTGGAGCACATTCAATATGAGTAATGGTGGGCAGCCTTTCATCTTCAACATCCTCAGATCACTAGAGTTAAAGTGAGCAGGAATATTTATGGCTTAAAAGGGAAAAAAAACCCTAAAAAACACTCAACACACACACACACACACACACACAAAAAAATCCCTTTCCTGAATTACAAACTCTCCTTACTGATGTCTGAGCCAAGTATCTTTTTTAAAAAGGCAAAACTAATTGCATTGGAATGGCTTGTTTCATAGGAAATAAATGGTTGACAAAAATTTTAGTATTACAACAAATAAGGTAATAAAAGGGCTGAACTGCCCTATAGTTATTCTTGTGAAGCTCAAAATGAACAGAACAAAAAACAAAGTATAAAGAAGGGCAAATACGAGACGTGAAGGATGGGAGGTGAGACAAGGGCAAGCAGGTGGAAAAAAATAGCATGAAATGTAGGGGTAAAGAAGAAAAAATGCTGGGTAGGTGTGTAGGTGTAAAAGATGAAGAAAATTGAATGTAGACATTTTCAGGAACATTGCCCCCCCCTTCTATGGATTAATTTTGTTTTATGAAACTATATTCACATTTTAACTCTTTGTGAAAATTCTTATTTCTATATTTGAAAGTTTGAAATTGCCTCCTTAGTTCTGCCATAACAAATGTAACTACTATTAAAAAACATTATGAATGACTGCAATCAAATCTAACAGTTCAGATTTGTGCCTGAAAATACATTGATGAGCAATCAACTCAGCTGAAAACATGAAGGAAATTAGTAAAATGGTACAATCAGGACAATTAATATTTAAGTTACTAACAGGCTTTTTTCCCAAATTCTTCAACAGTACAACTGTCCTGCTAACTGTACCAGCTAGGTGTTTCCTACAGTCTTATTATTCTGTGCCATTCCACCTCGAGTCCTACAATTCCAATACAATGAAAGATTAAATGCAACATACACTGAGTAATTTTAAATTACATCTCCTTCTTACCCTTGAATAGAATTTCGCTTTCTGAATGTTTAGCCAAAATAGTGGAATGGCACACTCTGAGCACCTCTAACTACAGCATAAGAAATCACAAAGACTGCAAAACATGTGCAGTTCCTCTGTGAATTTGTAGTGAAACAGCTCAGTAAGAAGATTGGTATTGTAAGAGCAGCCATTTTCTTTAGCAAGGATCGGGAATGCTACTGCTTGTTCAGCAGAACAGCCACCATTCAGACATTGTTAGTGAAAGGATGGAGAAAGGAACGAGCTGTCTGCTGCCCAAGGAAGTGTGTTGTGCCATTTAGACAATTTGTATATTTTTTTGCTATGTGTTTAAGCACATAGCAATTTATTATACTGTTGTTTTGTCTCAGGCTACGCTTCCTCTGAATCATCTATGCAAGCTTTTCACTATAATTAGAGAATCTTTTTCAAAAAATAGTATTTTAGACAAAGTCTACCCCTTTGTTTAGGATTTGAGTAAAAGCTACAGTAGCGCACCTTTTGGAGAGAGATGCAAGAATAACAAGCTAGAACCACCTAGGTGAAATTTCACCAGTATCATTCTCATTCTCCCACCAAAGCTTTAGTCACAGAGCCTCAGAAGCATTTTTTCCTATTCTGTGATGCTATACAACAATAGTTTTGAAAGTACACTGTAATCCAAGGTTGGTCATTACTATGCTGATGAAAGTTCAGGCAGCACTCAGTGTAAGAAAAACAAACTAAATTAAACACATTCAGGTGATACATATTTCTGAAGTAAATAATAAGTGAAAAATTCAAATCACATCCGCACCTTAAAACTCCCTGTGCCTTCGTTAGCTCTGAAAAACAAAAGAAGAGGAAGCACAGTCAATACTGCCAAGGGTAACAGTTATTAACATGCTCAAGCTCTTTATGATAATAGTGAGTTATTGATTTAGTAGTCTGGTATGCCAAGCTTATTTTCCAAATCAGGCTCTTCCTTTCATTAAACTGTAACACATGAAATAATATTAGACTGGATTTATGTATCTTTTTCTCCTAGCCTTTATTTGGTACTCCTATTTTTCTTGTGAATTCAGCTATTTATGACTTTAAGACTCGTCTACATGAAATGGAAAAATCCCCAACAGAGCCTAAAGCCATTTCTAAACACAACATTCATTTTCACAGGCATAGGCTGTAATATTAATGCTGCTTAAACATTCATATTTCACCACCCTTGATATTTTAACAGACAGTACCTAAGAAGTTGCTGACAGAACATGCCCAACCACTGAAGAGGCTTTCTGGGCCAACTGTTGGCCTTCCAGACTATTTGTATCACAGGATTAATGCTATCTAGGAAGTCAGGAAAAGCAATAGGTGTTTCTCTGGAAGGTGAAATACACACAAAGGTGGCAAATGACCAAATTGCCAGCTGGCTCCAACAGAGGTTCATTGATTCGCACAGTCTGAGCATGTGATCTACTACTGATCATCTATACTCCACATCTCCATCCTGTAGTGCAATGTAGAAATTTCTCAATTAATTAAACCCAATTAATGACATTTTACTATTCATGCATTCCATTAGCAAGTATGTACATAAGATAGAGGAAAAAATGCAGTACCAGAGAGGTACTTGCATGGGACTTTTGCATCAGAGAGGGCAAAAATCAAACATCACTATAAATCAACTACACTTCTGTTGATCATTTAATATAGCAACCAAATGGATTTGTAAAGTTTGTGCAGACCACACCTTAGCATGGCACTTCAAGTTACTGTAACTGAGTATCTCCAGCTCTAAATACCTACTGGCTATCAGACAGAGTTAAGTAAAACTATCATCAAACTCTGCCACTCAAATGAAATTTAAAGGTACTAAGTAACAAACATAGCAAAGCTTTTCCATTCCAGCTGTCATTTTCTTTGATACAGTTCCACAGCCACAGGCAACTAGATAATATACTCTAAAGACACCATATACAGTCAGACTTTCAAAGTAACAATTTCTGCTGGTTGGTCCAATCTATTCCAAGTTTTCTTTATCCAAAATGCTTTCTTAATCTCTCATTGCCAAAATAAGCTCTTTCATTTTGACCGTTGAAGAAGAAAACATTATAACCTTTAAAGTATAAAAGAAGATCAAAAGTTTAAAAAGTCACTAAAATAAAATGCAAAATAGATGCTGTTAAGCTATCATCCTTATTTGTTAGAAACATTCTGTGCTGCCCTCCATATAAGTAACAAAAACACAGTGGACAGTTTCACATAGTATAGGTGGTGTTTGCACAACATTACCTGCTTTGCTGCCAACACTGGAATGGAAGCTTGAAATAAAACTACCAGAAAAACAAATACAACAACACAGATTCAAAAGTCATCTTGTTTCACAGACAGGCAGATACATGTTTACTAGTTTTGAGGTCTAAGTTGCCTGACATCTTCCTCTTGCTCTGGAAAAACAAAAACACACCTGCTGAGAATTACAGGAGGGAGGAAGTAATCAGGAGACTTCCCCAGAGGAGATCTAAACCAAAGTATTTTCACTACAATGAATTCAAACTGTATCTAATCCTGCAGTGGAGACAATCTAAGGAAGCTTTTCTCCAGAGTCACCCAAGTGTTCCAACCCGAAAAGGACACCCTTGGAACTAAAATCGAACTGCTGTTTTTAAAGTCGTTTTTAAAGTCATTTTTAAAGTCTCAAATTATCATTGAGAAAGATGTGGGCTGTTGGTATAAAAGCACGCTCCTAGGCCCCTGCACTCCACGTGCTCCCGCTGCCAGCTGCCGGGACAGCACAGCACTGGTCGGCACCCGTCACGGGTCCCAGAACAAGCATCCCTCAAACTCCCATGTAGACACTAACTTAATGAGATACAGTCACATCCAAGGCCATGCTTATACATTTCTAACCCAACATGAATGTAGGGCAAATAGCATTAGCTTTACTCTTTCCTACTGAGATCTTTGTCAAAATATTTTACATTATGTCTGTGTATTTCCACATAACCACATTTTACCCAATGGGGTAAAATGCAGTGACCTGCCTGAGCACCAGGTCACTGGGACCCTGGACAGGGGTAAAAAAAATAAATAAATTAAATTAAGCTTCAAGTGTACAATACACAATGGTCACAGGCTGAACAGCTATATAATGTCTTTGCTTTCCTCTCCTGATCAACACATGGCTCTTGGCTTTACTTATAACAAACATGCTCTTAATGCAAAAGCATTAATTTTTTCTTGTTTCTTCAACACATCAACATATTTCCATACCATCCTACTCAGCAGAATGGCAGTGTAATACCTTGTTTAAAAAGAAGAACCTGAGACAGACTGTGTTGAAAGGTAACCAAGAACTGCAAGTGCCTAATTTGGGACATCCAAGATTGGATTTGTCTGCAGAACACTTGATATTACAGTTTTAGCCATGCTTTCAGCTGTGCTTGTGAGCATTCAGCACTTCTGCAAGTCAGGCATACATAAAACAAACACTGAAATGAAGTCAGGTATGTGGATTTGCAAAGACATTCTATAGAACAGTCAGGGATTGTTCCCTAGAGGTTTAGCTCAAAGACCTTCTCTTTTCTTCCTGCAATCCCACTTCTCATCCATTTAAAGAAATAAAGAAGGCACATGAGGGACAACACTTTAAAAAAAACAAACAAAAAAAGGCCAACAAATAAAAAAACCCCACACAACACCACCTACAGGGCCAAAATTTACCCATGGAGAAAAATTTGGTCTGTACTCTGAATAAAGTAAGACACAGTGGAAACACTGGAGACAACATGAAAAGACTAGGACATGTCTACACAGACAGAGGCTGAACCAAGATGGTATGCTTTGCTGCTAGAATTTCCCCGTTTCTGATTACTTGACTTTCCATCAGTTGTGTAATAGTTTGCTATGATCACACACTGGAGTTCTCTGAACATTTTGTTCAGGCAAAATCAGGCCAAAAGCAGGCACAATCTGGGTAGAGTGGCAAGAGTTGCAAAAGTCAAGCTGCTTCCCCTCCATGGTTGAGGCTCAGCACTGCACGAGCTATCAGTAGTTACAGCTTCCAATCCTTTCTCAGTTACGCTTTCTCAGTCACTAACTTATAAATCTGCACATGGCCAAAGCAATATAATTTCTCCTTCCTGTATTCCTGAAAACAACTCTGATGTTTGGGCTGGATTTCCCCCTCACAATCCATGGCTAAAGGTGACTCCTGATACAAAAGCTTCAGTGTAATTCTTTAAAGTCTGGGAAACTGTCAGGCAAACTTAATAGTAGACCACGTTATTACCCCCACCTATAACATTTACAGGAACACCCCTCCTGCTGCCCAGGTCGTAGTTGCAGTCCCTTAGTTACATGAGCAAGTCCTAACACAGTCAGCACTAACGATACTGCCACCTACAGGGACTAAGGAAGTGTAGAGAGACAGGTATTTTGTCATTCAGTTTACTGAGACTACAGTATTTTTTAAAAAATAAGTTAAACACATGTAAGTTTTAAAACTATGCTTTTTAGGAAGCTATTTTCATAGGAAGACACATTTAATTATCTGCATCATCTAGCTAAGCATAGCTGGCTGTCTCTATTGCACTGTGAGCTAAAACCAGCTCCCATCTGCTATTTGAGATGGAGCAAATGCACATTGAGTGACAACTAAGAGCCAGTAATGGTCCAACACACGCAAGCAGCACCCTCACATCAGCCACTTGCTCTTACATTTGCCCACAACTCACCCAATGAACTCCAGGAGTATGGAGATGTCAAGTTCTGGTGGAATTCGGAACACAGAGCCCAGAACTTTTCGAGGTCTTCCTCTGCTCGCTGGAACTGGCTGTGGGACAGCTAAAACATTCAAATAGCCAAAATGCAAACACAACTTGAAATAAAAGCAGCATAAGATGCTGACATAGGCCAAGCAAAACCGATGAGCTCATGAGGAAAAAGAGCCCAAGCAATTCATCCTATTTTTATTAGTTAATCATCTCTTTATACACTTCTTGCTGTGCATCTGAACCAGCATTTTATTAGTTTTAGCATGGCACTTCTCCAAAGAGCTGTTCATTTAATAGTAAGACAAAAGATAATTAGAATAATCCCTCATCTGTCAACAGACTTTGAAGTTCTTATTTTTATTCTTTTGTAACATCTATTATTTATTAAGGACCAGAAGATAAAACTAACATAGATTTTATATCTATTTCCTGGTTGTAGGCAAAATATAATCTGTTTAAAAAAAATCCAAGCACAATCTGGGTTTACATGCTGCCACTTAAATCTATTTTTGCAATTTGAGAACTGTGGCAACTTACAGTAATCAGATAATCAAGAATCCCATATTTCCCATACTACATATCATCTTCACTTGGGAGCTAATATTTCAAGGAAAGCCCTTAAGAATAAATGGTACAGTAAACATTTCCTTAACAGTGTCCTCTAAAGTGACTACATCTCACCTGGTTTGGGCACTTCTAATCCTCTTTCTTTATAGAAGTCATGCATTTGTTTCTTCTCTCCTGAAAAAACCCCCCCACAATACAGAACAGATTGGAACGTTATTTCAGATGCAGAAAATGTCGATACAGTTTCCAACAGTCAGAGCAGCAAAAACTTTCCAAGTTCCTACAGACCTTCATCAACACTAGTATTCCATATGAGGCTGTGACACTTAAAACACACAGATTAAGAGTTTGTACTCAGTAAAAACTGAGAAGAAATCAGAGAAATTGGCTATAAATCATACTGAAGTAGCTGCAAAAACTAGTATCCTTCTGGTTGTCATGACTCTGTTTTTATACCATCTGTATCCACTAGATGTATGTATTTCACTCAGTCCACACAGGTGGACTGTGCATATTCACTGGCTCCCAAAGTTCAAGGTAAGTGACGTGTGAGAGTGAACACACCTAATATCAGAAAAATAAATGTGGCAGTGAGAAAAAAATAAAAGCATTTGAGAGAATCAGTCTTAGCAACTTTTTTTTCAACTGAGGCAAGTGAACTTATTAGATGGAATGATATTTTCTGTACTTACACAAAAATATGAGGCATGACTATGAAGTATTATCTGGATGTTTATCTGGATAGAGCGACACCTGTGTTTAATGAGACAGGGTACATACCACTACCCATAATAGCATTTAGCAGCCAGAAAGGTGCCAGCTGGCACAGCTAATTCATTATGATCTATAACCAAACGTTACAAAACTATTCTAAAGAGATCAGGGTAGAAACAGGGCTTTGAATTACTCTGTTTTATGTTCATTTTTTTACATCTCTAGATGGCAATGAAATAAAGAAAAGTACTTACTTTCCTCCAAATTGACAACTAATTTATAGACTATGTCTTGCAGTTGCCGGTCCAGTCTCCTATTAAAGAGAAAAAAAAAAGGGAAGTGTCTTTTATGCAATACAGAATGGTTTTCATTACATTGTAACAGATGCTGAATACACTGTTGAAATATGATGTACATAAAGAGAAGAACGGAAGAGCAGCAACTTCGTATCTGTCTAAATTCATATCCTGAGAGCAGAGCTTCAACAGAAGCAGCCATGTAAAGTTAAAAGCACCATCCTTCAGTAATTCATGAACAATCTGAGAAACTAAAACTCAATTTTCAGAGTTATTAATTATACCACATCAACAAAGATTTGTCTAAAAGGAAATCTAAGCAAGTAGATAAGATCTCATATCACCTGTAGTACTAAGCAAATGCATAAAAATGCCCAAGGAGCCAGGGCCAGGGTGGTAACACACCCTAGAAAGGGATACAAACTAGATAAAACAAGAAATTGAGTATTTTTATCTTCAACACTGAGATGAAGCTTACACAAACAAAGAACACAATGCCTTTCTTGTACCCGTTCCTTCAGTTAAAATAGGAACACACTACAAGTCTGTACAACAAAACACTTAAAAGCAAGCAGCGAAACTTGAAAAAAAACAAACCAAACCCAAAGCTATAAAAATGGCATGAACTTATTACCTGATATTATAAAGGGGCTGTGTCTGATGTACAACAATATTGCATTTTGGACATCTGTTGCTGTAGTAGAAGTGTCTCACTATGCAGCTTTTACAAACTGTAAAGAAAAGAAACCCCACAAAAGTCACGTGTCCACTATACGACACCATCTGGTTAAGCAAGACGAACAATTACACCCAGACTTTTCAAATATAATTTGTCAGAGACAAATCGAAGCAAGTCTTTCAACTTTCAAACTCAACTAAACAGCAGCTCTTTGCCTGTACAGGATACAACATTCCTGAATATTCAGAGTTCTCAATATCCAACTGATACAATGGTGTATTGGGTTTGCATGGCAAGGTTTT